GCATGTGCCGTGTGTGAAATTCATTAGTACATACAATAATACAACTAGTTCCGCAGGTAGTTCAATTCTTTTCCAATTCTGTTGTTTTATGATTATGCTTCTACTAAAAAAGTCGCGCATTAATCAAAGAAAGCCCCAAGTCCTTTATAACATGGAGATATTCCAACAAATGCAAAGAGTACCACACATTTTGGAGTAGTCAATGCCAAAAATGCCAAAATAACGATCGATCGAATATGAACGATTCACAATACTCGTGTAAATTTAGCCAAAAGTTCAGAGCACAGAGTTTTCAAAATTCTGGGGCAACAGCAAAACAAAATGGAGCTAACTGAAGCCTCACAATTTCATTCACAATTCATTCTTCTTACGAACACAGCATCCAAAAGTTCAAACACGGACGCTGCCTACCCCTTTGGCGGAAAACAACATACGTATTGTTTAATCATCTAAAATCTGCCGATTGGTGCCGGCCGATTTGAGAAAGAAGCTAAACACGAAGAAAAAGTTTAAAGGATGCATCGTTTATAATGTCGTCTGAGTACGATGCAGAATAAATGAAGTCCGCAATTTATTACAGAATGTTATTTCGCAACATTTTTGAAATGCATTTTTATGCTCTAAATTGGCATGTTTGTGTGAAACTCCGTCGGTTGTTTGCTCTGCGATTATATCGATCACTGAGAATGCCCAGCCTTGATGTGGTAGTGGTATTTTCTGGTGTTTTTATTTGTCATACGTCCATCGATTGGTACTTATGCCTGTTGCCTCACATCACAAAGGCTATCCTTAGAGATTTTTGCTTTTTTTGCTAGTGACAAATTCTCAAAAGACACAACTTTGATAAATAATAATGTTTTCAACTTAGTATTATTCTTTATTTGCTAAAGAAGAAGATAATTGAAGTATTTTTTTTGCTATCTGCTATTTTTCAAACTATAATTAGAGTTGGGTTCGCTTAATTACAAAGATTCTTTTTTGGAATGGATCGTTTATTTCTAATTATGTCTTTTCAAATGGCTGCAGAAACTACAAAATACTCGTTCTATTTTACTTATTTATTAGCAGCAAATGATTTAAAGTTGGCATTCTTTTTCGTTATTTGTTCATTCTCTAGTTTCTTCCTCAAAAGCTTGAGTAGGTGGTATATAGATTAATCTGCAGACAGTCAACAGCTAACCACGAGGCAGTTTAAGCCATGAATCTTGTTGTTTTTGTTGAAGAATTAGTATGGGATATCAAGCAACCACCATTGCATTCTCAGTAGCGTTGAAAACAAGCTTAATGGATCATTTTTTCATCCTCTGAGTAACAAATGTAGGTCTAAAGCTGTTGAGCCGATCACGAAAACCCCCTCTAATCTTTGATTGAAGGGATAAAATGTGCAAACATGTATTTCACATGGAAATCTATCCTGAGCCCGTCGTGGGCAAATGAAAAGAAGTGCGATTTTAATTTTTGGAACGAGATCAAATTGATGATTTTGGTGTTATATTCAATCCTCGGCTTATCTCGAGACTATGTTCGCTTATTTGGAACTGTATTTTACTACATGGATTGATTCGGAAATCACACAATACTTAGGATACCTACAAAATAATCATAAATATCAAAATTCACGATTTGATCGCTGTAATGACTGGGATTTTTTTTTTGTTGCAGTAAAGTCTTGGAGTAAGGTCAGACTTGCTGAGCGCGGATTCCCACTATTCGAATTTTCGAATTGAGATATATCTGGAATATGTTTTACAGAGCGTAATCTCATACCCGCATCGACTCGTCTTACATCGGATCATTTTTTTTA